TTGTACATGCAGTGCTGCCATCTTCTGTTTCAGTCCGTTATTACACTCTTAAATCCTACTACTTATTCCTGTGTCTTTTGGGATCTTACAAAGATTCGAATGACGCGTTGACTATTAAATTAGTCGTCGACGATTTTGATAGTCAACGTAATCGTGACTAGTCGACTAATCATGGCAGCCCTATTGTCAAGTGTCATTTAAAACTAAACACCGTTTTGTTTCTTCCTCACTGCATACTGCAAATACAAGTAGTTCAGGCAACAAAGTAAAGCCAGCAAGGATTTGTTAGCATTAATAAGCAACAGCCGAATAAATGTGGAAGTGACACAGCTACTCTCAGTTAACACTGTTAACCTTAAAGTTAAATCTCACACAGCCTGTTCAAAAGTGCTTTTATTATTAGGCTATAGCTGAAATAAAACACAGAGAACTGAGAATAAAGGTTTCCATACAATGAAATTTACACAGTCAAATGACCATTTGTGCCTTTCCCCTGGCCCTTTCAATAGTTTGTATAAATATCAAGGGCAAATAGTGAGAGTTTCAACCTTGATTCCTGAAGAGTGAAATAGATTTTTCATATGTCAGTATGTTTTTACAGATGAACGCTTTTCTCTTTTAAGTAAATGTCATAAATTATGTTTGCATCTTTTGTATTAGCAAATAACAAATTGAAACTCGTATGTTTCACACCATGGCTTATCTGTGCTGGAGATAAAAAAAAAAAAAAAAGATACATCACATAATGTACATGCAGACTTGACAAACTTGAAGGTTTTTTGTTTTTTAATTAAAGAGAGATTTGAAACTGATCGCAAGTAAAAGAAAAACTTGATATCGCGCGTTTTTATGTGAAACACAATATTGTATGCTAAATCTCCTTCAGTTATAAGGAATCCTATTGGAAGTGAAATCTCCATATTTATGAGCAGGAGCCGCTGCAGTTTTATCACAGCCTGCCGTATACTGCTGGTAATCCCAGTTTCAGCTCCACAGCTGGTACGCATTTCTCTCACCCAGTGGCCTTTCACTAGCACTTGGTATTCAAAAGGTGTCTGTTACTCTCCAAGTGGTCAATAAAGTTTGATTCATAAGGCCTGGGGCATTAACTACACATTGCTGCTTCAATTCGAATAGATGTAAATGATAGCCATAGAGCCGGCCTGATTTCCTCGGGGAGAGCATGTGGGTTGAGGCAGCGTGTGTTATAAATTATCACCTCAGTAGGTCAGAGGTCAAACATAAAGAACACCTTGCCATCACATTAAAATGCTATAACATCCTAATGGCATTCCTTCAACATAAATGTCATTTGGGCAGCATGTGTACTGGACCAGCAAAATCTATTTTTAAATATTTGCACAGATCTTCATTTCACTTTATTTGGTTTAAATGTAGCCGGTAATATTCTATAATTTGCATATTCTTTTAGTAGTACAAGATTTCATTTTGTCAGTTACTAATATAAAAGATATCCAGATACTCAGACACATTTAGTTCATTTTTGCAGTACTGAATGTGAGAAACAATATTCTTATACACTCTATGTCTGCTTATGAGCCAGTGTTAACTGGACAGAAAAAAGACTAATGGGAATATACTTAGCAATTAGGACATCTGTAATAGCCTTGCCATACTTCACTAGGCTCCACAGTGGGCCATTAATATTACTGATAAATCTAATAAATGCAGTAGGGATCTATTGCTGCACATTATAGCACTTAGGGGACCTCACTGACCATTGCGCAGCTCACTAGAAGATTCCTTAGCACAGTTACAGCAACATCGTTTTATATTCATAATGTGCTTATTATTGTTGACTGCGAACCATTTAACACTATGCAGTTGTATTATTATATCAAAACATATGCAAAAGAGCAATGAATGAGCAAAAAGCAGCAATACAAAGTCAATGTAATAATGTATAGTGATGAATTTTTTTCAAAAAGTTGACAAAGTTTGTAAAATAATGCACAACAATGCA